AGATAAAATAAAAATAAGAATCTCACCTACAAATATTAAGAAACATTTTAGTGATCTACTTGATAAACTCTGGTGTTCTGAAAAAGCAAGTGCGCAAGATTTACCAAAAATTGTTGATGGACGTGTCTGATAACACAAATTATATAAAACAACTTGGACCTAGAGGTTTGGAAGGTCAAATTAAGATTTTTTAGAACCCTGCTAAAAGTATTTTGAAATGTACTCTTAGTGACAAATGTTGGAGGTAGGGATGGGCATTTGATTAAATTTTCTTAATCGATCCTCAGGACAAATAACGATCGATTATCGATTAATCATTAACATTTTTTATTTTAAAATGTATCATCATTTTTATTACTATCTGCACTACTAATCTGCATAAATAAATTCAACTTTACAACATATAAACATCAACACTCTAGAGCCACATCAGCCCGTTTGACATTATAATGTGTTTAATGCAGATTTGCGCAACTCTCACAGAAACGAAACTTAAAACCGCATCGCTAATTTGCATAAACTAAGCGAAGGGAAAAAAAACAGTTCTTGTGCGCTGATGCGACATGACTCAGTTGAATACAGGTTAGTGTGACCATATTTGCATTTGTCAAAACCAGGACACCGTACGGGGGGAGGGAGGTGGGGACTCGTCATCGACATTGAGCGACTCTCACCTGACAAAACTTTTTCATGTTTTCGGTGTCTTGGTGAACTTTTTCCCACTGGACACCGAAACATATGTGCCTGCTTTATACACTGTGCACGTGGACTCACACTTGTCCCGACCAGAACGGAAAGTGTGGAATTTCTTGTACAAATCATCGTTAAATACACATTTGTGCTTCGGTACGTTGCAGACTGACCCACTGTTTGTGTCTCGCTCCTTCTGAGTGCAGAGAGACACATGTACAGACCTGTTTGGTCACACTACACACAGCAACCTACATTCGGATTGTTGATTAAAACGAACGTAATCGATGAAATTCTTAATGATCAATTATCGATTAATCGACTAATCATGCCCATCCCTAGTTGGAGGAATTGTGGACTTGTGGGCGACCAGACTCACATATTTTGAGACTGCCCCAATATACAACATTTCTATATTGATGTTAAAGATGTTCTACAAAATATACTGGCTGTGGACCTGTTGAAGGACCCAAAGATATTTTGGCTTGATACATTTCCAGATGGTCTCTCTCATAATCAGCGCCTTCAGCTGCATCTTTTTCTGATGACTGCAAGGAAAATGATCACGATCTACTGGCTAAAACCTGAAACACCGACCGCTGATCAGTGGATATCAAAAATCAGACAAGTTTATACAACGGAACTTTTAAAGGCTCAACTACAACTACTCAAGGTGCCAACTTTTTGTTCTTTTCTTCTTCTAGAAAAGGGGGAAAAAAAGGGGAGGGATAAATATATAAATTTTGTGCAGGCCCGGTCTCAGGACACTGTTGGTGTGAATTGATTTGTGGCAATAAAAGTTAAAAAATAAATAAATAAATCTCACAAGATCTTTTTTCTCACGTGTGCACGATCTTGTAGCAATCTTCCTTCCATATAAATTGTCTTTGCTTTTTGGATGTAATTTTCCGTGTTGATGACTTCTGTATTTTTGTACTTTTCTTCTCAACTTTTTTTCCACACGCCGATGTAAAACTATGATAAATATTTACCACAGATGCCATCCCACCAAACCAATCCGCCTTATAATTAGAAAAACTTCTTCTGCTTTCCAGCTGATGTCATCGACACTTTCTCGGGAATGCGACGCTAACTGTGGGCACTGCTCCGTCTGAAGCTCTGTCACTCAAATTAAACTTTTATTTGAGTTTTGTTTGTTGAAAATCAAACTCCTAAACGAACCATGAACGCTCGTATTGATCACAAACTCCTTAAAATGCGCAGTTTACTACACAACTTTACAACTCTGTACTACACACACCCTCCCTACCCCCCCTCTTTTTTTTGGTATTATTATCATTATTATTTTTTATTTAATTTTATTTATTTTTATATAATTTTATTATTTTATTATTATTATTATTATTATTATTATTATTATTATTATTATTATTATTATTATTATTATATTATTATTATTATTATTATTATTATTATTATTATTATTATTATTATTATTATTATTATTATTATTTATTTTATTTTTTTTATATGCGTGTTTAGTTAAGTCTTATTGTGGATGTGCTGGGTATCCAATTCCTTAAATTTGACAAATTATAAATAAAAAAAAAAAAAAAGTCCAGTTTAAATAAGTCCATTTTGTATTTTGTCTTGAGTTTTCAGACGAGCGTGAAACTTCTTCGTCTGTGCTCGCGTCGTGTCACCATGGTAACCGCCGAGCATTCCACTATAGAAAACGCATGACATCCCCGGCGTGACGATTTCCAGGCTTAGTTTCTTGTTTTAGCCCCGAACCCGACACAAAAAACATCTCGCGCGCAGAAGCCAGCACACTGCTCCAACCTTCTGCTATTTTAAGACCTCCATCGCAAACCCTCCTATTAGATTTGGCGGTTTATTTTCAGACCGCGGCCAAGTCTATTTGTCTTACTGCACAAACGGACCGCGTGCACCCGGTAACCTCGGTAACCTCGGTAACCCCGGTCACCTCTTCTCCACTCGGCCAATTAAAAGCGCTGAGGAAGGTTTAGACGTTATGAGGACAAAAAGTTGTGACAAAAGGACAAAAGTGGGCCAAACGCAACTCAAAGAGAGCTCTGTGACGGCGCTGGCTGTAACCTGCAACGCTGAATTAAAGCGCACAATGATTTCCAGCTATTGATACTTTGCAGCGAGGGACATCATGCTGGGGGTGTTTTACATGTGTCTCTACTGGTGGAATGTTTAGAAGTTACCATGGTTACACAATGCACACATATGTAAGCACTAGGGATGGGCATGATTAGTCGATTAATCCATAATTGATCATTAAGAATTTCATCGATTACGTTCATTTTAATTGACAAACCGAATGTAGGTTGATGTGTGTAGTGTAGTGTGACCAAACAGGTCTGTACATGTGTCTCTGCACTCAGAAGGAGCGAGACACAAACATTCGGTCAGTCTGCAACGTACCGAAGCACAAATGTGTATTTAATGATGATTTGTACAAGAAATTCCAGGCTTTCTGTTGCGTTCAGGACAAGTGTGAGTCCATGTGCACAGTGTACAAAGCAGCACATATGTTTCGGTTTCCAGTGGGAAAAAGTTTTGCCAGGTGAGAGTCGCGCAATGTGGATGACGAGTCTCCACCTCCCTCCCCCCGTATGGTGTCCTGGTTTTGACAAACACAAATCTGGTCACACTAACCTGTATTCACCTGAGTCATGACTTTTAATCCGACAGAAATTGATCATATCAGCGACACAAGAGCTGTAGTTTTATCTTCGCTCAGTTTATGCAAATTAGTGATGCGGTTTTAAGTTTTGTTTCTGTGAGAGTTGCGCAAAACTGAATTAAACACATTATAATGTCAAACGGGCTGATGTGGCTCTAGAGTCGTTACAGTTTAAGTCGTAAAGTTGAATTTATTTATGCAGATTAGTAGTGCAGATAGTAATAATAATGATGATCATTTTAATATAAAAACGTTAATGATTAATCGATAATCGATCGTTAATTCTTCCGACGATCGATTAAGAAAATTTCATCGAATGCCCATCCCTAGTAAACACTAAAAAGTTTTACTATTTTAAGCAAAATTACAAAATGGATCTAAAAAGCAGATTTTCAGGAGCCTGTGATCGATACGAGCGTTCGTGATCCTGTTTCACAAATCAGCTCATTTGTTGTAGTTCCAACCAAGTAAGTGCTTTTTGTTCAGACTTGTGTTGAAATAAAGCTCATTTTAAGGGCGCACTCACACTAGGACTTTAGAACTGTGCCACACTCAAGCCCGATTCTGAACCGAGCCACAGCCCAATGACGTCATCCCACGGTGCTGTTTGTTTATATGTGTTAACACTTTTAGCGGAGAAATTAAGCAGAAATATCTATTAAAAGTGAGGCTGATGTGCGTCCTCTTATGATACGCACTCCTCTGTGAGTTTATGGATATAAAAACAGCGCGGAGCAGTGATGACAGCCGGAGACGAGAGGCAGATAAACTTCTGTCTGTCCTTATTGAAGGTTAGCACAGATTCACTGTGTGTTTTGGAGTGGAGTTTATTCACTGTTTTCCTCGTATGAGTAACATCGGCGCACCTGACAGGGCTCGTGTAGTCGTGTGTGTGTGTGTGTGCATGAGCACCTGTGTCGTGCTTTGGCCCACCTCCTCCAATCGAGCCAAAATCCCATCTGTGCCGCGCCTGAGCTCGGTTCGACTGCGCTCACACTGGACAAATGTACCAAAGCTTTAGGGCCGATCCGTGCTTGGGCATGATTCTAAAGTCCTAGTGTGGGTTCAGCCTTAGTCTAACTCGAGTAACAGAGCTGCAGACAGAGCAGTGCCTACAGTTAGCGTCAGAGTCATCAGGGATTGTTGATGACATCAGCTGCAGTATCAATATGTTTAAGTTCTTGGAAAAAAATACTGCATCTTCAGTCAAAAAATACAATAATTTAAAAATAAATGTATATTTTAATATAAACAGGGCCTGACACATACAAAATAAAAGACTTGGTGAGCACTACAGTATTTTTTGTATTTTATGGCGTCAATTTGCATATTTGAGGTTTCTAGCGAAATATATTTAATGCCCTGCTGTGGAACATTCCAGGCAAAGACACAAACCATCCACCAGAAAAGTTTCCTTTAACATAAGTTTCAACTCAGGATTATTTTAAATTGTAAACTCTGTAAATGTAAAAAAGAGAGAAGAGTATGTTTAGGTCACATCTTTAGGTCTGTTTCTTTTCCAATTATTAGTTTTGTTTATGTATTTAATGAAAAGGAGACCAGGTTTTACACACATTTTGTCATCATTTGTACAAAGTGAACACAGTAGCACTTTGAGCAGAGCTGTACCGACCTTTGGGCTGTTTGACCTCTCCGTTCTCTCTCTTTATCTCGTTCATCAGTTTGTTGTGTTTCTTCTCTCGCTCTTTCTCTTTGACCTTCTTCTTCTCTCGCTCCTCCCGCTCTCGGTCTTTAGTCTTGTCATTGGCGGAGTGATCTGCGGAGAAATAAAAACAAAAATAAACAATTAACATAAGAAACAGAGTTGTGTAGACAGAAATATATTCATCGAATCCGTGTATCGTTCGATCATTTGTTTTTCAAAATAAAACCGAAAAGAAAAAAAGAAAAAGCAACTACTTTCTTCATTATTTGTCTCCAAAATCATTTTTTATTTTTCAAATCATTTTTTAAGTTTGTTTTTAGGAGAATAATGGAAAAAATGGATATGGCCGTTTCCTGATACCGGACTTTTGTGCTGCATACGGACTGAACCAGGACTGAAACAGGACTAAAACAGGACTAAAACAGGACTAAAACAGGACTAACCAGACCAGGACTGAGATCGGCACTGAGACTGGGGCCGGAATCAGACCAGGACTGAGATCAGGATCGGGACTGAGACCGGGACCGGGATCAGACCAGGACTGAGATCAGGATCGGGACTGAGACCTGGACTGAGACCGGGACCAGACGAGGACTGAGACTGGGACCAGGACCAGAGCAGGACAGAGACCAGGACAGAGATTAGGACAAGAGACTGAGACCATGACTGAGACCAGTTTAGTCCTGGTTTAGTCCTGGTTTAGCCCCTGGTTTAGCCCCTGGTTTAGTCCTGGTTTAGCCCCTGGTTTAGCCCCTGGTTTAGTCCTGGTTTAGTCCTGGTTTAGCCCCTGGTTTAGCCCCTGGTTTAGTCCTGGTTTAGCCCCTGGTTTAGCCCTGGTTTAGCCCCTGGTTTAGTCCTGGTTTAGTCCTGGTTTAGTCCTGGTTTAGCCCTGGTTTAGCCCCTGGTTTATTCCTGGTTTAGCCCCTGGTTTAGTCCTGGTTTAGCCCCTGGTTTAGTCCTGGTTTAGTCCTGGTTTAGCCCCTGGTTTAGCCCCTGGTTTATTCCTGGTTTAGTCCTGGTTTAGCCCCTGGTTAGCCCCTGGTTTAGCCCTGGTTAGTCCTGGTTTAGTCCTGGTTTAGTCCTGGTTTAGCCCTGGTTTAGCCCCTGGTTTATTCCTGGTTTAGCCCCTGTTTAGCCCTGGTTTAGCCCCTGGTTTATTCCTGGTTCAGTCCTGGTTTAGCCCCTGGTTTAGCCCCTGGTTTAGTCCTGGTTTAGTCCTGGTTTAGTCCTGGTTTAGTCCTGGTTTAGTCCTGGTTCAGTCCAGCATCGCAGTTTAAGTCACATAAACGGGAAACGGTCGTTATCCGTTTTTTCCATTCTTCATTTAAACACAAAATCGAAAACTGAAAAAACAAATCGTTATCTGTTTTTTCATTTTTGTTTTGGAGACAAATAATGAATAATGATTTTCTTATTTTTGTTTTTATTTTGAAAAGCGAATGAAGGAATAATACACCGAGTGAGACACACAATGGTAAATACTATAGCAAAACGAATGGACGAATACAGTAACAGCACCAATAAAACAATGTTCAGGATCGTATTTTCAATAAAAAATCATCAGCAAAATGTTTCTCAAGCTTCTAAAAAGGCCTAATAATAACTTCAGTTTGTTGGCACAGACCACAAGAGTCAGGTTTGTGGAGATGCAAGCTCGCGCACAGTGAGAATGCAAGATCTTTTCAATGCAATAAACACAAAAAACAACATAAAAAAAACCACTTACATACAAAAACATACTGCAGCTTTAACTGATTAGTGTGCTTATGTTTACTTATTTTTCTCTGCAGATATTTATTTAACATTTGTACACTGAAAAACGTCTCAAAAAACAAGATCACAGCCTCACATTTACTTCTCTGTCCTCACGAGCGCAGACACTTCCTCTCTCTGTCCTCCGCATCCTTCACCTCACTTCAACTTTCTGCAGATTCCTTTTTCTCCCTCTGCAAAACTCTGCCGCTTTGCTTTTTCCGCTCTTTACTAAACCCCGGAATATTCTGGGCGTAATCTTGAGCAACGCGTAAACTTGTAATTCCACATGTAAGCCTCTTTATGTACGCGGGGTTTTAAAAGCAGTTCAGGAGATGTCCGTTTGTCGAGCGTCATAAAAAGGTGGACCGCGAAGCTTTTCTGTTATTGCTTTGCCCGGAATGTTCCACAGTGTGACAAACTGTGTGTCATTCGTTCATTCGTTTTTCAAAATAAAACCAAAAATAAGAAAATGAAAAAGCAACTATTTTCTTCATTATTTGTCTCCAAAACTAAAATGAAAAAACAGATAACGGCCCATTTACGGGAATTAAACTGAAATGAACCAGGACTGAACCGTTTTTAGTCCCGGTCTGGTCCTGGTCTCAGTCCTGGTCTCAGTCCCGGTCTCAGTCTTAGCCCTGGTCCTGGTCTCGGCCCCCGTCTCGGTCCCGTCCCCGGTCTCGGCCCCGTCCCCGTTCCCGGTGTCCGCCCCGGTCTCCTTCCCGGTCTCGGCCCCAGTCTCGGCCTCGATCTCAGTCCTGATTTCAGTACTGGTCTGGTCCCACAGTTTCAATCCCAGTCTCGGTCCCGGTTTCGGTCCTGGTTTTGGTCCCAGTTTCGGTCCCAGTCTCAGTCCTGATTTCAGTCCTGGGCTGGTCCTGGTCTTGGTCCCGGTCTCGGTCCCGATCTTATCCCGGTCTTATCCCAGTCTGGTCCTGGTCTGGTCCCGGTCTCAGACCTGATTTCAGTCCCGGTCTGGTCCCAGTCTCAGTACTGGTCTCAGCCCTGGTCTCAGCCCAGGTCTGGTCCAGGACTCAGTCCTGGTGTCCAGGTCTGGTCTCGTTCTTGGTCTCGTTCTTGGTCTCGTTCTTGGTCTCGTTCTTGGTCTCGTTCTTGGTCTCGTTCTTGGTCTCGTTCTTGGTCTCGGTCTCCGGTCTCGGTCTCCCGGTCTCGGCCCCGGTCTCGGCCCAGGTCTCGGCTCAGGTCTCGGCCCAGGTCTCGGCCCAGTCTCAGTCTGGTCCCGGTCTGGTCCCGGTCTCGGAAAGGTCTCGGCCCCGTTCTCAGTCCAGGTCTCAGAGGAATACAATAATATCACCTCACAGGCGTTTATTTACAAATATTAGACCATTTATTGAATTTTTTTTTTAAATCTAAAAAATTGCATTTTCTGGGACAAATCCTCTCCACAAACTAAGTGACTGTGACATATTGGTGAGGAATTACACTTTCTGATGGTTTTACAGCTCAAAAATATCTAGAAAAACAGATATTCTAGCTGTGAGCAGGTCTCCAGGAAGACAGAAATTTGTTTAATGCCGTACTGCGAAACATTCCAACAAACAACAAATTAAGCAATAACATGTAAATAGAGAAAAGTCACACAATATCACCTTTAAAATGAGAAGTAAGTGTTTTGTAACTCCTGATACGAGCGCTCTCTATTTTTAGCCGCTTCAGTTTAGAGTGTAAATATTGTTCCTTCAAACTGTGACGTGTGACAGTTTCAATTTCCATCTCAGTCCAAAGAAACTCGACAAAACAGAGAAATGTCCCCACAAAAACAAACAGCAAAGAGTAGAGCAGAATATGAAATGTTGACATTACTTTTATTTTTCTCCGTATAATCATTGATCCAAAGCAAATAACACGTTTTAAACGAATGAATTCACACGTTCTTTAAAACTCAGCAGAAAAAAGTGACCCACTATCTTTAAAATGAGTCAATATTTAATTTTCTAACTGTAGGAGTAGTTTTAGTAGTAGTACTAGTAGTAGTAGTAGTAGTAGTAGTAGTAGTAACAGTAGCAGCAGCAGCAGTAGTAGTACTAGTAGTAGTTGCAGTAGTTGTAGTAGCAGTTGCAGTATTAGTAGTACTAGTATTAATAGCAGTAGCAGTAGTAGTAGTAGTAGTAGTAGTAGTAGTAGTAGTAGTAGTAGTTGTAGTAGCAGTTGCAGTAGTAGTAGTTTTAGAAGTAGTAGTTGCAGCAGTAGTAGTAGTACTAGTATAGTAGTAGCAGTAGTAGTAGTATTAGTAGTATTAGTAGTAGTAGTAGAAGTAGTAGAAGAAGTAGTATTAGCAGCAGTAGTAGCAGTTGCAGTAGTAGTAGTAGTAGTCATAGTAGTAGTAGTAATAGTAGTAGTAGCAGTTGCAATACTAGTTGCAGTAGTAGTTGCAGTAGCAGAAAAAGCAGTTGCAGTAGTAGTAATAGTAGTAGTCAGTAGTAGTAGTAGTAGTAGTAGTAGTAGTAGTAGTAGTAGTAGTAGTAGTAGTAGTAGTAGTAGTTCTCTTCTCTCTAATTTATGTAATTAATGTCTCTCTCTTTTTAATTTTTTTATTTTAATTTTATGATAATTATTTATGTTTTGATTTGTTTTTATTGTGATTTTCATGTTTTTCTTATTCTTTAAAGCACTTTGAATGACCGTGTACGAATTGTGCTGTACAAATAAACTTGCCTCGCCTTGCCTAATATTTATAACAGTAGTAGTAGTAGTAGTAGTAGTAGTAGTAGTAGTAGTAGTAGAAGTAAACTTGCAAATAGCTGGACTTTTCCAACATGATCTTTGGTTGATTCTCTCCATAAACAAAACTAAACTCGAGAATCGTACGTGCAGTGTAGTTTGAGTTTTCAGTCGTTGGTTTTTCTCAAAGTAAAAGTCAGAGTTAGCATGAAGTGTCAGACTCTACAGTAGTAAGATGGCCGCCTTTCCCTTTCCTCTTTAAGCCAATCTAAACCCACTCCACTTCAAACCCTCCGCCTGCTCTTTTCTCACCAACTTCTCTGCTTTGAACTCCGTCAGATCCATTTTTGGACACAAACTCCTCTCTCTCTCTCCCTCCCTCCCTCCCTCCCTCGCTCCTGTCGTTCTCTATCCCTCTTTCTCATCCCCCTCTCCCTCGTCTCTCCCTTCCTCCCTCCTTATGTTTTAGCCCCTCCTACCACTTCTCTTTCTCTCTCTTTCTCTAAGACTCTCTCCTATTTCTCCCTTTCCTCCTCTCTTCCCCTCATCCTCCACTCCCGCGCCTTTTCTCCCTCCCTCCATCTTTCTCCTTCAGCTCTCCACCACTCTCTCTCTCTCTCTCCTCCTCTCATCCTCCATCCTCCCCTCTCTTTCTCTCTCTCCCTACGACTCTC